TGTGACCTCCCACTTATTGCCAGGAGACATCTCTTGCCAAATGGCAGCTCGTGGTGTGGCACGTGCACCAACCAGAGACCTAAGTACCCCAGACGTGTGCGTCTCAGCCACGGGTCAAGAAGTAACGGAGGGAGGCAGTAACAGGGACGTGTTTTTAGCGTGTTCACACACTGTAAACTAATCAGCGCTAACAAAATTGTACTCATGCATACAGAAACGCAGCAACAGCTCCTGCATGCGAGGGATTTTGCCTGGCGACTGGTTCAGACACACTGAGGGTAAAAGACACGGTGTTAGTGGTGTGTTCAGAGGCGATGGAGTCAAGCTGTGCTCAGATTGAGGGTTTTGTTGCTGCACCGTGACCCAATAAGAAACTAAGGCAGTGTGTCACTGGGTTGGACACAAACACGCAGAATGCAGCCATCTAATGCTCACCCACACTCAATTCTTCATTTACCGTTTCATTTACCGGCACCTTGCTTTAGTCACATGCAGAATTAATGCCACTCACACGTACGGAAACTGCAAACGCACGACACTCAGCGGGGCGAGGTCTGTTGTTGTGGGGATTGGGAGATGTTGCCTGTAGCTTTCTGTAAATTACCATCATATTTCCATGTGTTTTTTTCTCTCTGTGTGTGTGGATCGGGTTTTTGCCTGCCTTGTCAGGACCAGCAGTCCTTTAAGGCAGGGGTTCTCAAGCCATTTGGGTCTGGGGACCCCTTACAAGGGCGAAAAAAATTCCAGAGACCCCCTCATAAACCTCGTGCTGTTTTAAAAGATTATTTATTGTCATTTCAACCCCTAAATGCCATGGGAATATATATTTTTATTAAGTTTATTTTGTTTGTTTTGTTAGTTCATTGTTCTCCATGCATTTTTAAAAATAAAAACCAAATTAATTAACATTTTAGTAAAAAATTTTGAGGACCCTCAAGGTACCTCTCGCAGACCCCTGGGGGTCCAGGGACCCCAGTTTGCGAACCTCTGCTTTAAGGGACCAAAGCTCAGTCCTAACACAATCAAATACCATATTTGGATTATGGGTTAAGTTCAGGAATATGTTGTGATTTGAGTTCAGTTCTTTGGTTAGGATTAGTCATGTACAGGTTAGGGTTAGTGTTAGAGTAGAATGTCCCARTAAGATTATAAACACAAACTTGTGTAAGTGAGTTGACGCCAAATTTTAAATGCTGCTGTTAACRTGGGAGTAGATTTGTATGTTTGTGTTTTCTGGATGACACAAATCAATCACGGAGATGTGAAAATATGAGTGTTGATGCGTAAATAGGAGTCACAGAATGAAAACTGTGAAGTGTTTGCATCGAAACGGAGGGAAGAAGATTTTTAAAAAGAAGGACTAGAAAGAAAAAAAACATTTTTTTCTGCACTGATTGAAGGTTAGTTCTCCACCATTAGCCCAAGTGCAGACAGGGGAAGACCAGAGCAGCTGATCGACCCCTCTCGTTTTTTTTTCTTCACGTCTGTCTGGTAATAAGGCCTGGTGCCTCGGAGGAATGCTCCTCAGCTGGAATGCTCTGTTAACGTGTCTGCGCTACTTAAAACACTGTTTTCATGAATCTGAAGCTGGTTATCAAACGGAGGCTGGCAGTTCTCTGAGACACAGCAGAGTTGCTGGATGCAAATCTGCTTGTTCCAAGTCTGCACCMCTCCCCTGATGGGATCTGTTTTCCAGTGCAGTCAGCGATGGGAAATTASCACAAGAACCAGCTTGTTTCTTAATGTCGTTTGCAAAATGTAAATTTGGTAGAGGATCTTAAAATGTCCAGTTTAAGTGCATTTATTAGCTGATTTATAATGATTTATTATTATTTATTTATTATTATTATTCATTAGCTGATTTTAAAGTGAGTTGGTTCAACAAGGCCACTTTGTGTCGACATTTCTGACGTGCAGTTGTAATAAGATCAAATGAAAATCATGTCTCTAAGCAACTTTATCACCTGGGGATATTTGTCCTTCTGACAGGTTAAAAATAAAGAAACATCAAGACATAAAACTAACTGGAGCCAACTGTTTATAGCTGATGATACAAAGATAGAAATGTTCAAGGGGTGAGCAGAGAGAAAATAACAACAGTTCATGAATGAGGCCGTGTGTGTGTGTGTGTGTGTGTGTGTGTGTGTGTGTGTGTGTGTGTGTGTGTGTGTGTGTGTGTGTGTGTGTGT